TTATTATATATATATATATTTATTATATATATATTTATTATATATATATTTATTATATATATACATTTGTGTATATATTTGGGTGTATTTCTTTGAATATATTTCTTTCACCCCAATGACTTAAATAAATTTGTCTAAATAAATATAAATAAATATAAATATAAATATAAATATATATATATAGAGTATATATCATTAGCTAAATATAAATAAAACAAATATGTTTAAATATATTAATTTACAGGTGCAAATCCGAAAGACTCAGCGAGAGCAGAACTTAGCAAAGAAAAGAGCTGAGGCTTTAAATGAAGCAGCAAAGACAGGAAGAGACAGTTTAATAGGAGGGGCCCCCTTTGGTGCAGCAGAGGGGCCCCAGGGTACAGCTATGGGGGCCCCACAGCCAATATTGGGGGCCCCACAGGGTACAGCTGGGGGCCCCCAGGGGACCCAGAGCTCATCAGCATTTAGTCTTGAAGGAGTTGATCTACAACAACTAGTTAAAGCACTTGCTAGCGGAGTGCCGGAGACAGAACTCGAGGTTTGTCTCCTTTATTTTATTTTTATTTTATTTTATTTTTTTGTTTTGTCGTGGTGCTGATGTCTCCTTTTGTTTCTGCTGTCTCCTTTTGTTGTTTTGTGTCTCCTTTTTTTGTGTTTGTATTCCTTTTGTTTGTTTGTTTGTTTGTTTACTGTCTCTGTTTATTTATTTACTGTCTTTGTTTGTTTATTTACTGTCTCTGTTTGTTTATTTACTGTCTCTGTTTGTTTATTTTCTGTCTTTGTTTGCTTTTCTGCTGTCTCTGTTTATTGATTTACTGTCTCCTTTTGTTTGTTTATTTATTTACTGTCTCTGTTTGTTTATTTACTGTCTCCTCTTGTTTGTTTATTTATTTACTGTCTCTGTTTGTTTATTTACTGTCTCTGTTTGTTTATTTACTGTCTCCTTTCGTTTCTTTATTTATTTACTGTCTCCTTTTATATTTTTTTGTGTTTTTATATTTCTTTTTGTCTCCTTTCTTCATCTTAGAGTCTCCATTTATATATTTTAATCTGCATTCTTCTATTTGTATCTATTTTTTATGTAAATTAATTTAAGTATATTATTTAATTTAGTTAATTTATTTTTTTTATTTGTTTGAAGGCTACTCAACTCTTTCGTCGTGCCCTTAGCCTCGAGAACAACCCGCCTATTCAGGAGGTAATTGATGTAGGTAAGTATTATTTATTTATTTATTTATTTTTATTTTAATTTATTTATTTAATTTGTTTATGTTTATATTTATATTTATATTTATATTATATACTTATGTATTGTTAGGGCTTTGTTTTTATGTTGTTTTGATATCGGTAAGTCTTCTGTATTTGTTTATTTATTTAATCTTTTATTTACTTATACATACATACATATATATATATTCTTTTATATTTATTACTATTTATATATATATATTTAATTATAGTTAATTATATTGATTTATTTATGCTAATTTATTTATCTATATTTATTTATATTTATTGATATTAATTTATTTACATTTATTGATATTTATTTATCTATATTTATTTATATTTATTTATATTTATTTATATTTATATTTAGCTATATTTATTTATATTTATTTATATTTATTAATACAGGAGCGGTGCCGTACTTTGTCCGATTTTTATCTATGACGGGTCGCGACCAACTTCAATTCGAAGCAGCATGGGCACTAACGAACATAGCCTCAGGCACTCAAGAGCAAACTCGAGTAAACCCTAAACCCTAAACCCTAAACCCTAAACCCTAATTTGGTCCAGCATCAACTCAGGCAGCCACTCAGAAACAAACTCGAATATACCCGAAACCCTAATCCTTCCTTTTCTCGTGGTGATTGTGTGCGGAGCTGTTCAATCATTTGTTAATTTCATGCCTAGACCTTATTAGGGTTTAGGGTTTAGGGTTTAGGGTTTATGGTTTAGGGTTTAGGGTTTGTAGTTTAGGTGATGATAGAGTGCGTAGCTGTTCTATAATTTGTTAGTTTGATTCCTAGACCTTTTTAGGGTTTAGGGTTTAGGGTTTAGGGTTTAGGGTTTGTGGTTTGTGGTTTAGGTGGTGATAGACTGCGGGGCTGTCCCTCTATTTGTTAATTTGATGCACTCTTCAAAAGAAGAAGTCCGAGAGCAGGCGGTTTGGGCGTTGGGCAATATCGCGGGGGATTCGCCTGATTGTCGAAATCTTGTCTTAGATAGCGGTAAGCAAACCCTAAACCCTAAACCCTAATAAACCCTACTAAACCCTAATAAACCCTAACAAACCCTAATAAACCGTAATAAACCCTAATAGCCCCTAATAACCCCTAATAAACCCTAAGAACCCCTAGTAAACCCTAATAAACCCTAATAAACCCTAATAAACCCTAATAAGCCGTAAGAAATCGTAATGAGCACTGTTAAACCCTAGTAAACCCTAAATCCTTACACATGAACCACGTGCAGCTTCGTTCTAGATAGCGGTAAACCCTAAACCCTAAACCCTAACCAAACGTCTGTGGATGCCTTAAACGAGAATATTAAAATCCTGAGCAAACCCTAAACCCTACGACACCGTCACACACAAACCCTTTCTTTCACTCCAGCGCCAGGGGATTAGGGTTTAGGGTTTAGGGTTTAGGGTTTTGGCTGTGGGTACAGGCGCCCTGCCGCCTCTGCTTGAACAACTCAACACCCCGGGGTCGAAGCTCCCGATGATTCGGAATGCAACTTGGACTCTGTAAGGGTTTAGGGTTTAGGGTTTAGGGTTTAGGTTGTAGGGTTTAGGATTGGTGGGGGTACAGGTATATTGTTCCGAGGGTTTAGGATGTAGGGTTTAGGGTTTGAGGGGGAGAGGATGGATACTGCTCGGAGGATTTTAGGGTTTAGGGTTTAGGGTTTAGGGTTTAGGGTTTGGGGTGTACGTGCAGCTCGAACCTCTGCCGAGGGAAACCCGCCCCCGCGTTTGAGAAGGTCTCCCCAGCACTGCCGACTTTGGCAGCGCTTATTTATTCGGATGATGCTGAAGTGTGTCGAGGGTTTAGGGTTTAGGGTTTAGGGTTTAGGGTTTAGGGTTTAGGGTTTAGGTGTGCTTGCGTCTATTTGCCCCTTGTTTTCTGGGTTTAGGGTGTAGTGTTTTGCTCTGCTTGTCTCTCTTCTTTTTCTCCTCTTAGGGTTTAGGGTTTAGGGTTTAGGTGTGCATGTGTCTCTTACTTGTACGGGGCTCTATATTAGGGTTTAGGGTTTTATATTTTATTTCTTCTGTCTCTCTATTTGTCTCTTTGTTTTTTAATTAACATTTTTGTTTATCTCTCATTTAATTTTTTTTTGTTTTATCTCGTCCTCCTCTCATTCTTCTTGTCCTTTCTTTTTATTTAGTCAGACCTATTTATTTATTTATTTATTTATTTATTTATTTATTTGTCTGTTTCAGGTGTTAACGGATGCCTGCTGGGCTCTGTCATATCTCTCAGACGGCCCCAACGACCGCATAGGGGCTGTTCTTGAAGCGGGTCAGCTGTCTCCTTCTGTCTCCTTTTGTCTCCTTGCTGTCCCCTTGCTGTCTCCTTTTCACTTCTTCCTGTCTCCTTGCTGTCTCCTTTTGTCTCTTTGCTGTCTCCTTTTGTCTTCTTTCTGTCTCCTCCTGTCTCCTTGCTGTCTCCTTTTGTCTCCTTGCTGTCTCCTTTTGTCTCCTTGCTGTCTCCTTTTGTCTCCTTGCTGTCTCCTTTTCATTTGTTGCTGTCTCTTCCACTTCTTTCTGTCTCTTTTACTTCTGTGTGTCTCCTTTTGTCTCCTTGCTGTCTCCTATTCATTTCCTTTTGTCTCCTTTTTATTTTTGTCTGTCTCCTTGCTGTCTCTCGTTTGTTTCTTTCTGTCTCCTTTTCATCTTCTTTCTGTCTCCTTTCTGTCTCCTTTTCATCTCCTTTCTGTCTCCTTTCTGTCTCCTTTCTGTCTCCTTTTCATCTCCTTTCTGTCTCCTTTCTGTCTCCTTTTCATGTCTTTTCTGTCCCCTTTTCATCTTCTTTCTGTCTCCTTTCTGTCTCCTTTCTGTCTCCTTTTCATCTTCTTTTTTTTGTCTCCTTTTGTCTCCTTTCTGTGTTTTTTCTGTCTCCTTTTTGTCTCCTTTTGTTTCATTTTGTGTATATTTGTCTGTCTCTTCTTTCTTTTTCTCTGTCTCTTTTTGTCTCCTTTCTGTCTCCTCGTCTCTCTTCTGATTATTTTATTTAATTTGTTGTTCTTTGCATGCTTTATTTGCGTTTATTAATTATTATTTATTTATAAAAAATATTATTTATTTATTTATTTACTTTGTTTATTTTTCTATGAATATCATTTTACCTGTCCGTTGATTAAACTTGTAGCTATTTATTTTATATATATATATATATATATTTATATTTATTTATCTATTTATATTTATTTACATTTATATTTATTTATATGTATATATATTTATTTATATTTATTTATTTATTTATATTTATTTATTTATTTAGGTGTCTGTGCTCGCTTGGTGGACTTGTTGATGCATCCATCGACGCTCGTCCAAACCCCTGCACTACGCGCAGTTGGGAATATCGTTACAGGTTTGCTGCTGCTGTTGCTGCTGCTGCTGCTGTTGCTGCTGCTGTTGCTGCTGCTGTTGTTCTTGCTTGTGCTTTTGCTGCGGGAGTTGCTCCTCGTGCTTTTGCCGCGCTGCTGCTGCTGCTTGTACTGCTGCTGCTTGTGCTGCTGCTGCTGCTTCTTCTCCTGCTGTTACTGTTCTTCCTGCTGCATATAGTGCTGCAGCTGCTGATTTTTGCTGCTGTTTCTGCTGCGGCTGTTTTTGCTGCTACATGTACTATTTTTGCTGCTGCTTCATCTGCTTCTGCTGCTGCATATGCTGCTGTTGTTGTTGCTGCTGCTGCATATGCTGCTGCATTTAGGAGACGATAGGCAGACGCAAGTGGTGTTGACATGTGGTGCTCTACCGAATCTGCTGTCTCTACTTTCTTCAAACAGAAAGACAGTGCAGAAGGAGGCGTGCTGGACAATATCTAATATAACTGCCGGTAATTCTTATTTATTTATTTATTTATTTATTATTTTATTTTGTTTATCTTTTAATTTATCTTATTTATTTTTATTTATCTTTTTTTAGATCTGTATTGGGGGTGCTCGGGTGTATCCGTTTGGCTTTGTTTTTCTGTTTGTTTATATTTTTTTTAATGTATTTCTTCTTCTTTTTATTTATTTTTATTTATTTTAATTTATTTTAATTTATTTTAATTTATTTCTTTTATTAGAGATGCGGGATGAGGAGCCAACAGAGAGAGTAGCAGGCATCGGAGCTACTTAAATATATATACATATATAAACAAATATACATATAATATATACATATATAAATATATAAATAAATAAATATATATATAAATATATATATGTATATAATTGGTGCAGGTAATCAGGAACAAATTCAAGAAGTGCTGGAGAGCGGGGCGGTGCCGGCTTTGCTGCATTTGTTAGAGACAGCAGATTTTGATACGAAGAAAGAAGCAGCCTGGGCAGTTAGTAATGCTGTTAGTGGAGGCTCAGACATGCAGGTATTCTACTGTCTCCTTTGCTGTCTCCTTTGCTGTCTCTCTCGCTGTCTCTCTTGCTGTCTCCTTTCTGTCTCCTTTGCTGTCTCCTTTATGTTATTTGCTGCTGCTGTTGCTGTTGTTGCTGCTGTTGTTATTCTTGCTGTTGTTGTCTGTATATTGCTGTCTCTTCTTCTTTTGTTTGTTTGTTTGTTTTTCTTTTTTATTTATCTTCGTCTTTTTGCTGTTGAATTGTATATATGCAGATAATAATTGACTGTCTCCTTTGCTGTCTCCTTTGCTGTCTCCTTTATCTTTTTATAGATTTATATTTTTATATTTTGTTTAATTAAAATCTTTTATCTTTATTACTTCTGTTATTGTTTTAATTGTTGTCTGTTTATATATCTGCATCTATATAAATACTTATCCATTTATTTATTTATTTATTTATTTTTATTTTTATTTTTATTTCTTTTACGTAGCGCATTTTATTCGTTTAAGATATATATATATCTAAATATTTATTTATTTATTTATTTATTTATTTATTTATTTATTTATTTATTTATTTATTTTTATTTTGTTTAGGTAGCGGAGTTAGTTCGCTTAGGCTGCGTCCCGCCTCTTTGTCAGTTATTGGGGTGTATGGACAGCAAAATAGTCATGGTGTCTCTTGAAGCTTTGCATGCAATCCTTAGAACAGGAAAGAAAATTAAAGAGACAGAAGGCTTATCAATTAACCCTTATGCTACTCTTATCGAACAAGCAGATGGAGCAACTGCACTTGAAAAACTTCAAGACAGCAGCAACGAAACTGTATTCAAAAAAGTACGCCTAGGGTTTAGGGTTTTAGGGTTTAGGGTTTAGGGTTTAGGGTTTAGGGTTTAGGGGTTAGGGTTTAGGGTTTAGGGTTGGAGGGATAGGGGATAAAGGTTTATGGAGGGCTTGAAGGCATTTGGGATTATGGTTATCAGGGTTTAGGGTTTGAGGGGTTGCTGCCTCGAGCCTCTAGGGTTTAGGGTTTAGGGTTTAGGGTTTAGGGTTTAGGGTTTGTGGGTGGTCGCATGCTTTGACTTGATGGTTTGCAGCATTTATTTTTTGTTGTTGTTAAATCTGACTCTAACGAAGCCTTATCCTTTTATATATTTTATTTTATTTTATTTTATTATCTTTTTATTTATTTTTGTTTATATATTTTTATTTATTTATGTATCTTTCTTATTTGTTATTTGCTTACATTTCACCTCTTCGTTTGCTTACTTGCTATTTATTTATTTATTTATTTATTTAATTTTGTTTAATATTTTATTTATTTTATTTTGTCTGCTAGCCTTTGATGAATTTGTGTTTGTGTTGTTCACAACACTAAACCCTAAACCCTAAACCCTTGAGTTGTTTGCGTTCGTATTATTGTTTTATTTTATTTGTTTTTCTTTAGGTGTATTCAATAATATCAACATACTTCCCTTATGAAGAAGAAGAAGAAGGTGTTGATGCTGACATGGATTCTGCTGCTGCTGCTGCTGCTGCTGCTGCTGCTGGGGGCAGCGGCAGCACATTTGGAGCGGAGGCCCCACAAGGGGGCTTTAAGTTTAATTGAATTTAATTGATTTGCTGCTGCATTTGTTCTGTCTCCTTTCCTGCTATACTGTCTCCTTTGCTGCTGTACTGTCTCCTTTGCTGCTGTGCTGTCTCCTTTCTGGAGACTACAGCGCATTTTGCTGCTGCAGCAGCAGCAGCAGCAGCAGCAGCAGCAGCAGCAAGGACGCCTCACGCGACAACAACAACTACAGCAGCAGCAGCAGCAACAGCAGCAGCAGCAACAGCTTTGCTAGTTCGAGCAGCTACATGCAGCAGCAGAAGAACAGGGGGCCCCCAGGGGGCCCCCTTTCTTCTTTGTTGCTGCTGCTATCTGCTGCTACCTTCTCCGCTGCTGCTTCTGTCTGCTAATCAGTAGAAGAGACAGCAGCAGCAGTAGCAGCTAAAGCAGCGGCTGCTGCTGCTGACGCTGCTGCTGCTTGCTGCTGCTTGCTGCTTCTGCTGAGCGTAAGACAGATGGTGTACTGAGGGCAACGACCTGAAGCAGAATGCTGCAGCAACTCAATATCTCGTATTGGATTCCCTAGGGTTTAGGGTTTAGGGTTTAGGGTTTGGACTCGAAGGTCTACAGGGATGAGGGTTTAGTGTCTAAGGTCTAGGGTTTAGACGCATGGGTTTTGAGGGTTTAGCGTTTAGGGTTTAGGGTATACCCTCAAGGGTTTAGGGTTTATTTAGACTAGCAGCAGCAGCAGCTGCTGCTGCTGCTGCTTTAGCTGCTGCTTTAGCTGCTGCTTTAGCTGCTGCAGCGGCAGCAGCTAAAATAGCCATAGCTAGTTTATCTGCAGATGCTGTTTAAGCTGCTTCTGTTGCTGCTGCTGCTTTAGCTGTTGCTGCATTGAGATGTACATACACCGCATTAAACATCTTTAACTTCTTCACCTGAAAAATTATTTCATGTTTTTTTATAAACCCTAAACCCTCACTATAAACAAGCAAAGGGTTTAATAGGGGGGCCCCCAACTTGAAGGGTTTATTAGGGGTCCTTCTTTAATCTCATTGCCCCACATAGCAGCAGCAGGAGATTCGCCTATTGGGGGCCCCCCTAGGGGGGGCCCCTCAATAGGGGCCCCTAAGGGGGCCCTATGGGGGGCCCCCGCAGCCCATAAGGATGTATCGTAGGGGCCCCCAGTTATCTGGGGGCCACCATAGGGGCCCCCAGTTATCTGTGGGGTATCATAGGGGCCCCCTGATATCTGTGGGGTATCATACGGGCCCCCTGTTGGGGGCCCCCCTAATGTTGAGGGTACGAAGAGGGGCCCCTGAAATGTTTGTTGAGTATTATTATGCATCAATTGGGGGGCCCCTGAGTCTGATAGGCTATTAATATTATTACTATTATGCAGCTCTTCATTTAGGGGATATGGGGGGAGGCTTGCCTGATCTAGGGGCCCTTGGGGGCCCCCCTGAAGAGAATGGGGCCCTTGTGGGGGCCCCTCAAGGGGCCCCCCTAACGTAGGGGGCCCCCCAAGGGGCCCCTGAAAGGTAGGGGCCCCCTGGAGGGTATGGGGGGCCCCCTGAAAGGTATGGGGGGGCCCCTGCATGTACCCCCGAAATGGGGCCCCCCCCGCAGTAGGGGGCCCCTGGGTGGGGGCCCCCCTGGGGGCCCCTCTTTGCTGTGCTGCTGGTAGTTTATTGATTAAAGTTAAGAGATGTGCTGTACGCTGCAGAGCAGTAGCATTAGGCTCTGAGAGTTTGCTGAGGGCTTCTGTTAAGTCTGCCCCCGTTCTAATGAAGGCTTTTAGCTGTTCCCAGGTTTGCTGCGTTTGAGGGAGGAAGTCTGCTGCTGCTGCTGCTGCTGCTGTTGCTGCTGCTGCTGCTTCGCTCCAGTATGCATTGCCTGCTATGGTGTGCAACCCGTCGCTGTTGGGCTGTACAGACAGCTCGCAACGACAAACAGCAGCAGCTGTAAACCCAGGCAGCGGTAATGCAGCAGTATACACAACTACGCTTGCATTGCTGTTGCTGCTGCTGTTGCTGTTGTTGTTGCTGCTGCTGCTGCTGCTGCTGCTGGAGCCTGCTGCGATATCGTCGCTGCTGCTACTTCCCTGGCCCTCGCTGCTGTCTGCAGCGGCGCCTTCCCCTCCTCCTTCTCTTCCTGCGCTGCTGCTGCTGCTGCTGTTGCTATTGCTGCTGCTGCTGCTGCTGCTGCTGCTGCTGCTGGTATCTTTGAATGTTTGGGTGATGTTGCAAGGGGAGTCAACATAAGCAGCAGAAGCACACAGATTATTTATGCGTGAGACAAAAGCAGCTCTACACTCTGCTCTGTTGCTGCTGTTGAGATAGAGAGGTTGCTGCTGCCAGCCTGCTGCAGCAGCAAGAGGGACGCAGCACGTCATGCCTTGCTGCATGCATCGAACAGAGGGGGCCCCCATATCTTCTGTGGGGGCCCCCCTTGCTACTATACCGAAGGAGGCTAGGGCCCCTCCCTGCAGCAGTTTGTTGTAAGCCTCTAACAACTCTTGTACATGCAGCTTTGATATAGCAGCTTCAAGGAAGCTAACTGCTGCTGCTGCTGCAGCAAAACAAGAACGAGAAAAGAAGACAAACTGCTGCAGGAGAGACAGCCACTCTGTTAAGGGGGCCCCCAATGAAGGTAATGCAGGTAAGGCTACTGGGGGCCCCCAGCCTCTGCTCTCTTCGTCTTCTTCTCCTTCATATTCTGCTTCACTACTTAAACCCTCTGCTGCTGCTGCTGCTGCTGCTGTAGTCGCGTCGCCCTCAACCCCCATCGCAGACAGCAGCGACTCAATAACAGTCTTTGCTGCTTCATCTTCAGCAGTTAACTCCTGCTGCTGCTGCTCCTGCTGCTGCTCCTCCTCCTGCTGTTCCTGCTGCTGTTCCTCTTCATGCTGGTGCTGCTTCTGCTGCAGCAAGCTGATTTTGGGTTTCGTAGTTTTGCTGTATAGGTTCTGTTTTTGCTGCTGCTGCTGCTGCTGCTGCTGTTGCTGTTGCTGTTGCAGGTTTGTCTTGATGCTGATTTGGGGCAGCAGCTGCTGCAGCATCAGCAGCAGCGGAGGCGTGTCTTCTCCGGTTTGTTGGTGTAGCTGCTGCAGTTGCTGCTGCACATCAGCAGCAAGCAGCAAAACCCTTTCAATCTCAGAAAAGAATTCTACAATGTGCAGCGCCGTAGCAGCAGCAGATTGCATGCTGCTTCCAGGAGGAGGAGGGGGCCCCCCCGGCAGCAGCAGCAGCGACAGCTCTTCTAAAGCAGCAAAAAACTCTGGGGTCTTCAGAATAACAGAGACGAAGCCTCCTCCTAGCTGCAGCACTTCATTAATAACTTTGCTTGCATGTTGCAGCGGTGACGGCGTTGTTGTTGTTGTTGTGCTGCTGCTGCTGTTGCTGCTGTTGCTGTTGCTGTTGTTGAAAGACAGCAGCGATAGCAGCGGATTGCTGCTATTTCCCTTGGGGCTCTGCTGCCTCCTGCTGCTGCGCTGCTTCCGGTTGCTGCTGCTGCTGCTGCTGTTTCTCTTGCTGCCGCTGCTGCTGCTGCTGCTTTTGCTGCTGCCTGGCAGCGCAAGCCCCTGCAGCTTCTCTAAGAAGTTCTGCGTCTGCTCCTCAAAGGGGTCTCTGTCTGGAACTCGCTGCTGCTGCTGCTGCTGCTGCTGCAGCTGCTGCAGCATCCTGTTCTGCTGCTGCTGCTGCTGCTGCTGAGAAAAGGGTGGAAGGTAAGTAGCAGCAGCAACTGGTTGAGAGGAGAAGGGTGCAGCAGCTGCAGCAGATGGGGGTCCCCACAAAGGAGGAGACAGCGTCTGCAGCCAAGGAGGAGACGCATTCTGCTGCTGCTGCTGCTGCTGCTGCTGCTGCTGAGGCCATATCCAGCTGTCTAGACCCTGCAAACGGCGCTCATGAGGCCCGGGAGAGGAGGAGACAGTATTTTGCAGATCTAGCTGCTGCTGCAGCAAACGCAGCTGCTGCTGCTGTAGGCCGTGCTGCTGATGCTGCTGCTTCTGCGGCTGTTCTTCTTGCTGCTGTTGCTGCTCTCCTTCCCGTTGCTGGTGCTGCAACTGCAGCAGCTGCTGCTGGTGCTGCAGCTGCAGCTGGTGTACCACATCGAGGTGCTGCAGCCCCCCCAGCGGGGCCAGCGCTGTTGCTGCTGCTGCTGTTGCTAATGCTGTTGTTGCTGCTGCTGCTGCTGCGGGGAAAAGCTGTTGCAGCAGCAGCAGCTGCAGCAGCTGCCGCAGCAGCAGCGGATGCAGCAGCATGGCAGGCTGTCGGCAGCAGTCTGAGCGAGACCAGTGGGGTGTACAGACAACTCTACTAAAACCTTAAACCCTAAACCCTAAACCCTCACACAAATAAAACCCTAAACCCTAAACCCTAATTCTAAAGCCGTAAAGCCTAAGAAAAACAGATTTAAAGACACAAAAATAATAAGTAGGCGAACGAAGGGAGCGGGGAGACGACAGCAAATAGAAGATAGGGAACACCACGCCTGCCGCTGTCCCTGCAAACCCTAAACCCTAAACCCTAAACCCTAAACCCTAAACCCTAAACCCTAAACCAGAAAAAATATATATTCAAAAGAATAACAACACTAATAAAATCAAAAGGAACGGCTCAAACAGAAGAAACAGAAAAAACAGAGAAGGCCTTTCCCTGCGACGGGGTCACCTCCCAAACCCTAAACCCTAAACCCTAAACCCTAAACCCTAGACCCTGAAACCCTAAACCCCAGGTCAAATATCCTAAAGCCGGCTTCTCTCCTGTAATATTTCATGAGTAAAGTAGGCGTGAAACCCTAAACCCCAATACCTGAATACTGCTGAACCCTTAACACCAAACCCTAAACCCTAAACCCTAAACCCTAAACCCTAACTCAAACTTTTCCCCTGTACTATCCCATGACAGACCTAAGAAAAAAACCCTAAACCCTAAACCCTAAACCCTAAACCCTAATTCCTCCTTTCCCGAGACTGGGACCACGGGCCAGTCTAAGGGTTTAGGGTTTAGGGTTTAATATGAGTCTCCACCAAACCCCAAATATCAGCAATTGCTGCTTCAGGAGCAGCAGCAAAGGAGACAGAAGGAAAGAGATAAATGAAGAGAGACAAGCCACAATAGGCACCCTAAACCCTAAACCCTAAACCCTAAACCCTAAGCCCTAAACCCTAAACCCTAAACCCTAAGCCCTAAACCCTAAACCCTAGGCTTCAAACGCTTCCTTCTGCCTTTAATCTTATCTCGATTTTCTGACTAGTTTGTCTGTCTCTGTTTTATAAACCCTGAACCCTCAGCAACCCTAAACCCTCATTGATATTAAACCCTCAGAAACCCTAAACCCTAAACCCTAAACCCTAAACCCTAGACGCTGTTCCTTCCGCTTGTCGTTTGTTGTCTCCTTCTGTCTCTCTGTGTCTCCTTCTGTCTATCCTTTGTACTTATTTACTTAAAAATAAATGCATTATTTATTTATTTATTTATTTATTTATTTATTTATTTTGTTCTGTTGTCTCCTCCAGTTGCTGCCGGCACACTTTTACTGTCTCCTCTGTAGCAGCGCCAAACCAAAGACAACAGCACTTGCTGCTGCAGCAGCAGCACTTGCTGCAGCAGCAGCAGCAGCACTTGCCGCCGCAGCAGCAGTAACAGGTGCTGCAGCAGAACAAGAAACTCTCACTGCAGCAGCACTCGCTGCAGCAGCACTCGTTGCAGCAGCACTCGCTGCAGCAGCACTCGCTGCAGCAGCACTCGCTGCAGCAGCATTTGCTGCTGCTGTGTACGTACAGCTGAATAACACTGCAGCAAACTACCCGGCCAAGCTCTCGTCAATTAACTCAGCGAGTGTATTTGCATGCAGCGCAGCGTCGCTGCTGCTGCTGCTGCCTCCCTCTGCTGCTACTGCTGCTGCTTCTACTTCTGCTTCTGGTGCTGCTGCTGGAGGGAACAGCCCTGCTGGGGCTGCACCTGGGCCAGGTGCAGCAGCAGCAACAGCAGCAGCAGCAGCAGCAACGCAATCCAAACGATCCACATCGACATCAAATGTATGTGCAGCTATTTCGGAGCAGCTATCTGCTGCTGCTGCTGCTGATACTGTTGCTGCTGCTGCTGCTGCTGGCTCCTCTCCTTCCTCCACGTCGATGACTTCATCCTGCTGCTTCTCCTGCCGCTGCTGCTGTTGCTGCTGCTGCTGCTGCTGCACCTCTTCAGCTACCTCCGGGAAGCCTAGAAGCTTGAGGGCCCCCAGCACATCGTTAGCACCAATGGTCCGCCGTTTTGCTGCTGCTGCTGCTGCTGCTGCTGCATCGGAAAGATACAGCAGAAACAAAGCAGCACAGCGCCCGAGAGCAGCAATAGATTTTCTTTCACCTCTAACACCAGCAGCAGCAAGTTGCTGCTTTACGATGCGCTGCACCTGCGCTGCTGGAAGCTGCAGCAACTCGCTGCTGCTGCTGCTGTTGCTGCTGGTGCCTGCTGCTGCTGCTGTTGCTGCAGCCGATGCAGAAGCAGGCGGTGCTGCAGCAGCAGCAGCAGAAATATCGCAGTCCACATCCATGCTCATTGCAGGTGGTGTGGGAGTGCCACTTGCTCCTGCTGCTGCTGCTGCTACTGCTGCTGCTGCTGCTGCTACTGCTGCTGCTGCTGCTGCCGACAACGCAGGTTGGCTTCCCGTGCCGCTGTTGCTGCGGCTGTTGCTGCTGCTGCAGTGGCTGCAGCTACTGCTGAAGCGAACGTCACCGGTATTCTTCTCGTGTTGCTGCTGCTGTTGCTGCTGTTGTTGCTGCAGCAGCAGCAGCAACTGCTGCTACTGCTCCTGTGTTTGTTGCTACCGTGGCTTGTTTTTAGCTGCAGCAGTGCAGCAAAAGGTTTATCGTCTCTTTATTTGTTTGTAATTAGGGTTTAGGGTTTAGGGTTTAGGGTTTATATACACCTGAAAGGCGTTGGGGGTTACGAGTGTCTGCACAGGGGGCTCTGTCTTTATTTGTCGGTTTTGTTTGTTGCTGCTGCTGCTGCAGCCTTCTAGAGATATAATAAAATAGATAATGTTGTTTATTAGGCTTGCAACAACTTCATGCGGCCTTCCAGCCCTAAACACCAACCCTAAACCCTAAACCCTAAACCCTAAACCCTAAACCCTCCAAGCGGAGGAGGGCCCCGGGTGTCTGTGGTTAGCTACGCTTGACTCGGTTTTATAGTTCTTCTTCTTTTGTTTTTCTTTGTCTTTATGCATTTAATTTGCTGCTATTAATTTAATTCTTCTTATGGTGTACATACACCGCAAACAGTAGCAGCGCAGCAGCAGCACGATGGGGCCCCCGAGGTCCAGTAAGCAGGGCAGCTTGCTGCTGCTGCTGCTGCTGCTGCTGCTGTTGCTTCTGTTGCTGCTGTGTGTTGCTGCTGGATGCTGCTGCTGCGGCTGCCTGCAGCAGCTGCCGTGGCAGCTGCTGCTGCTGCTGCTCAAACTGCTGCGGCAGCTGCTCCTGCTGCTCCTGCTCCCCGTGCTGCTGCTAGCGCTGCTGCTGCCCTTCCCTACGACAGCCGTGGCGCTGCTGCACCCAGCAGCAGCAGCAGGAGGAGGAGGCGAGAGGGTCCTCTGGGCTCTTGTTGCGCATCTCCTGAAACAGCAGCAGCAGCAGCAACAGCAACACCAGCAGCAGCAACACCAGCAGCAGCAACAGCAGCAGCAGCAGCGACAGCAGGTGGGAGCATCTCCACAATCAGCAGCTGGTGAATGCAGCAGCGGCGTGCCGAGGCTCCGCGCTAGCTGCAGGAGCAGCAGCACGACACAGCAGCAGCAGCAGGAGCAACAGAAAGAGGAGCAGCAGCAGCAGCAGCAGCAGCATAAGGCTAGCAGCAGAAATGCATGCGCAGCTTCTTGTGTGTGCGATACCCCCGCTGCAGTTGTGGTGTATGTACAGAGCAGCTGTCCCTGGCTAAGGGGGGCCCCTGTCTCTTGTTTGCCTGCTGGAGGCCAGCCGCTGCTGCTGCAGCTGCTGCTGCAGCTGCTGCAGCAGCTGCAGCAGCTGCTGCTGCCGAGAGAGGAGAGGGCAAGAGAGCAGCGCTCCTGCCGCTTCTCCACGTTGCTGCTGCAGCGCCGCTGCTACCCTGTCTACCGCGGCAGCAGCTGCAGCAAATCGGTTGCTGCTGCATTTGGAATAGAGTTAGATGAGCTGCTGCCAGCAGCAGCAGCAGAAAACAGCAGCAGCAGCAGCAGCAGCAGCAGCCCGTTGGTCTTGATCCCGCTGCGGCTTGGCTGGCTTGCGGACCCTCGCTGCTACTCTTGCTGCTCCTTGCTGCTGCAGCTTCTGGGTTGTGCTGCTGTTGCTGCTGAAGCTGTCTTCCGTCTGCTTCCCTCGAGACTCACTGATACTGCAGGGCTCCCCGGTGCACAGCTGCTGCTGCTGCTGCTGCTGCAGCCGCTGCAGCGGTTGCAGCGCCTTCTCTGGAGGCTCCTCTTCGCCCCCACACCCACTCATACCCAGGTGCAGCAGCAGCTGCAGCAGCAGCAGCAGCAGCAGCACGATGGGCTCACAGGTGTCTCCGCTTACATCCACTATCCCTTCATTCAGAGGCCCCCTGCGCCTCCAGTAGCAGCAGCAGCAGCAGCAGCAGCAGCAGACACAGGAAGTTGGGAGCTGCTACGTGCTGGTGAGGAAACGCAGCAGCAGCAGCAGCAGCAGCTGCAACAGCTGCAGCAGCAGCAGCAGAACTGCTATTCTGGGGTGTACGGACGGCTGTTGTATGTCTACCGTTTCTCCTTGTGGCGCATCTACAGTTTTCTGCTGCGCTCGTTGCTGCAGCAGCAGCAGCAGGCTGCCCCTCTCAACTGCTGCTGCTGCAACAGCAAATGGACTCAGCGGAAGATTGCAGATATTGCTGCAGCAGATTGCAGCAGCAGCAGCAGCAGCAGTTGCTGCCCCGCTGCGCTGTTGGCTCCTGTTTGCTACCCTCCCTGTCTCTCCGCTGAGCAGCAGCAGCAGCAGCAGCATCAGCAGCAGCAGCGGCAACAGCAGCAGCAGCAGCAAGACGATATTCATGATGACTGGACTCTGGTACCGGACGTCTCGCAGCAGCAGCAGCAGCAGCAAGATCAGCAGCAGCAGCAGCGGCAGCAGCAGCAGCAGCAGCGGAAGAACCGGATAGTGTCTTTGGGTCAATTTCGTTTAGAGAAGCGGCAGCAGCAGCAAATTGAAATACTGAGCTGTATGTACACCTCGTTCCCTTTGCTGCTCCCACCCCACACTCATTTACTTATCTGCGGCTCCATTAGAAATGCAAGAGACTGGCTTTTGCTGCAGCAGTTGAGGGCCTTCGCACAAGGCAGCAGCAGCAGCAGCAGCAGCAGCAGCTGCAGCAACTGCAGCAGCAGCGAAGATGAAGCAGCCGCAGCAGCAGCAGCGCTCAGGGGAGATGCAGTGTTGCTGCCCGCTGGCCGCAGCGCATCTTCACTCAATCTGTCTACCCTTGCTGCAGCAGCAGCAGCAGCAGCAGGCACAGGACCAGCAGCAACAGCAGCAGCGACAGCAGCAGCAGCAGCAGCAGTTGAGAAGTACATTGAAGAAGTAATGGATGGAGTTAATTCTGCTGATGCCTTTTGTTTTTTTCTGATTAACAGCAGCAGCTCGCTGCTGCAGCATTTGCTGCACTCAGCAAAAGTAAGAAGGAGACAGCAGCAGCAAATCGAGGCTCTCTCTTTGTCTCTGTCTGTGTCTCTGTTTTATCTTTGCTCTTCTTTGCCTTCGTCATCGTAGTTCTTTATTATATTTTTGTTTTATCTAGTTGCTGCTGCTGCTGTTGTTGCTGTTGCTGCTGCTGCTGCGTTGGCCCTTGCTGCTGCTGTTGGTGCTGCTGCATTGGCTGGGAGTTTTGCTGCTGTTGCTGCTAGTGTCGTCTCATACCTGCAGCCTTTGCTGCTGTTGCTGCTGTTGTTGCTGCTGCTGTTGTTGCTGCCTGATGCTATTGCTGCTGTCGATTCATTTCCGCTGCTGCTGCTTTTGCTGCTGTTGCTGCTGCTTCCTGGCGCGTGTGGTGCCATTTGCATTGCTGCTCCTGTCTCATTTCTGCTGCTGCTGCTGCTGCTGCTGCTGCTGCTGCTGCTGCAGGTGGGCCTTCATACAATGCAGGAAGAGCACTTTGGCATTGCTGTGGTGCAGCAATTAGCTGCAGGTTGCTGCTGCGTAGCCCACTGCAGCGGGGGCCCCGAAAGCGACATCCTCGTGGCCCGCCCTGCTGCTGCTGCTGCTGCTGCTGCTGCTGTGGGTGCTGCTGCGGGTGCTCCAGGTACAGCGGCAGCGCACGAACAGCAGCAGCAGCAGCAGCAAACGCTGCAGCAGCAACTCAACGAAGCAAAAACTCTCGCGCTGCAGTGCTGCGGAGAGTTTGGCTTCTTGTGTACAGACAACCGCTCCTTTGCTGCTTGCTGCAGCATCGCGCTGCTGCAGCCACCTGCAGCAGCAGCAGCTGCAGCAGCAACAGCAGCAGAAGAGATCGTAATGCCCATGCTTAAGAGGGCCGCTCAGTCGCTGCTGCGGTTTGCAACGGATGAAACAGCAGCAGCAGCAACAGCGCAGGTACTGCAGCTGAGGCCCCACATTCGCAGCTGTTTATCTCAAGAGCAGCAGCAGCAGCAGCAGCAGCAGCAGTAGTAGTAGTAGTGAAAGGAGGAGGAGTAGCAGCAGTGCGAGCAGCAGTAGCAGCAGCAGCGGCAGCACTACATGCGATTGAGTTCCAGAGGCTGCTGCTGCTGCAGTATTGCTTGCTGCTGTCTTGCCGCTGCAGCTGCTGCAGCTGCCGCTGCTGCTGCAGTATTGTCTGCTGAAGCTGCTTTGCTGCTGCTGCAGCAGCAAAGCAGAAGCTTCTCGTTTGTTCATGCCAACGCTTTAGGTGTCTTCATAATAAATCTGTGTCCTGTCTCTCAATTGCTGCTGCTGCTGCTGCTACTGCTGCTGCTGCTATTGCTGCAGTGGGCTCTACCGCAACTGATGCTGCTGTTGCTGCTGCTGTTGCCACTTCTGCTGCTGCTGCTGCTAATATTGCTGTGTTGCTGCTGATACTGCTGTTGCTGCTTATGCTGGTGTTAGTATTACTGCTGCTGCTGCTACTTCTGCTGCTCGTGGTGCTGCTGTAGCTACTGCTGCCGCTACTGCTGCTGCTGCTGCTAGTGCTGCTGCTGTTTCTTTCACGGTATGACCGCAAAAATATTAAGTCAAATTACGTAGCCTTAAAACAAGCAGCAAGCATCCACTGGCAGCAGCAGCTGCAGCAGCAGCAAGTGGTGCAGCAGCAAGCGGTGCAGCAGCAGCAGCTGCAACCGAGCGGAAGCATACCGACCAAGCTGCTCCCGTTACTGCTCCCTGCTGTTGCTGCTACTACTACTACCACTGTTGCTGGTGCTGCTGCTGCTGTTGCTGCTGCTGTTGTTGCTGCTGCTGCTGCTGTTGTTGTTGCATTGTGACCAGCAGCTGTGGCGAGCTGACATCCAACTGCTGCTGCTGCTGTTGCTGCTGCTGCAGCGATTGCTGCATCTACCGCTCGAACTCAAGCAGCAGCATCTGCTGCTGCACCAACAGCAGCAGGATCTGCTGCTGCACCAACAGCAGCAGCATCTGCTGCTGCACCAACAGCAGCAGGATCTGCTGCTGCACCAGCAGCAGCAGCTGCTGCTGCTGCAGCTGCAGCAGCAGCAGTTAGGGGAATGCCGTAGAACTGGAGTAGAAGGGTATCCTAGAAGAGAGGGCTTGTCTGCTGAGTGCAGCAGCAGCAGCAGCAGCAGCAGAAGCAGCAGCAGCAGCAGCTTTTTGCTTCTGTCTCTGTGCCCTCTTTATCTGCTGCTCTGCTGCTAGTGCTGCATGCAAGGGATTGACTGGCAGCTGCAAGCAGCGCCGCAGGTGCGAACCCAGGGCCAGCGGCTGCAGCAGCAAACAAAAACAAACAAACAAACAAACAAATAAATAAATAAATAAATAAATAAATAAATAATGCATCAATCATACATAAAGAGGAGACACACAAGCAAATAACTGGTGAAACAGTTCGTATCTTCGTCTGCAGCAGCAGCAGCAGCAGCAGCAGCAGCAGCAGCAGCAGCAGCAGCAGCAGCAGCAGCAGGGTTGCAGCTGTTGTTGCTGCAGCAGCAGCAGCAACAGCAGCAGCAGGAGACAGACGAAGATGCAAGGAGACAAAAGAAATGCAAACGCCTACCCTGATTTTGCTGCCGCAGTGCTTGCAGATGAGGAGAGACAAATGCTGCAGCAGCAAACAGCTGTCTGCATGTTGAGCCACGTCCTCATGCCCTTGCCTCCAGCTGATGCTCTCCTGCTGCTGCTGCTGCTGCTGCTGCTGCGGTTGCTGCTGAGGCTGCTGCGGCTGCTGCTGCCGCGGATGATCGTGCGCCTGCTGCCGCTGGTGCTGTTGTGGTTGCTGTTGCTGCTGCTGTTGCTGTTGCTGCTGCTGCTGCTGCTGCGGCCTGTCTTCCCCTTCGCTGTTGTTCAACGGCACACCAGCAGCAGCAGCAGCAGCAGCAGCAGGATCAGCAGCAACAGCAGAAGCGGAGAGATGCATGCCGCTCTCTTCGCGTGCCCCGCTGGCTTCTTCTATGCTCCTGCTGCTGCTGCTGCTCTTGTTGCAGCGGTGGCGATGGCAGCTGCAGCTGCTGCACCGGCTGCTGCTGCTGCTGCTGCTGCTGCTGCTGTGGTTTTGTGCCCCGGGTGGGGCCTCATGTGAGGAGACCGAAACAGGCGAAGCTGTTGGTGAGTCTGCTGCTGTACCAGCAGCAGCACCAGCAGCAGCAGCTGCTGCTGCTGCTGCTGCAGCAGTTGCTGATGTTACTCCCGCTGCTGCTGCTGCTGCTGCTGCTGATCCCTCTTCCGTTCTGCTGCTGTTGCTGGAGGGGCTGCCTCTCCGCGCTATGCTACTTCTACGGCTACAAAGTAGCTGCGGCTGTTGCTGCTGTTGGTGCTGCTGCTGTTGGTGCTGCTGCTGCTGCTCCTGCCGCTGCTGCTGCAGCCAGCGACAGCAGCTGCTGCAAGGGAGCTGTCGCGCTGCTGCTGCTGCTGCTGCTATTTGTGCTGCTGTCTCCTTGCTGCTGGCTCCGCGGAGTGCAAGCGAAAGAGACACCTCGTGGCTGAAGCAAGCGCAGACGCATGCAGCAAGAAGACATTAGCTGCAGCAGCAGAGTTGCCGCTGCTGCTGCTGCTGGTGCTGCAGCTGCTGCAGCAGCAACTGGAGCAGCCGTAGCAGCAGCAGAGGCACCAGCATCAACAGCAGCAGAACCTCCGCTACAGCAACCCCTAAAACAGCAGCACCAGCAGCAGCAATGGCAACAGTAACAGCAACAACCGCAAGAGCAACAGCAACTGCAGCAGCAGCAGCAGCAACAGCAACAAATACCTTGTTCTGAGATTAGCTATCTCCTTGTGATGCAGCTCTTGCTGTGCTTTAATTTGCTGCTCCAGCAGAGCCAGCCGTTCATACAGCCAAACAGAGACAGAAGAGCGGCTCTGCTGCCGCTGCATCCCCGCTGCTTCTGCTGCTGCTGCTGCTGCTGCTGCTGCAGTCGCCTCTGCTGCTGCTGCTGCCGCCCCCGCAGCTGCTGCTGCTGAAATACACCGACGAGAGACAGGCAAAGACGGAGGAGTGCTGCACTGAGGGTCTTGCTGCTGTTGCTGCTTCTGCCTCTGCTGCTGTTGCTGCTGCTGCTGATCACGCTGCAGCAAGTCTTCAGTATGTACACCTAATGATGGTGAGGGCACTGCGGATGCAGCAGCAGCTGTTGTTGTTGTTGTTGCTGCTGCTGCTGTCTCAAGAGCTGCTGCTGCTGCTTCTGCCGCAGCTGCTGCTGGTTTTGTACACTCCTCCCGCGGCGCAGCAGATTCTGCTGCTTCTGCTGTTGCTGTTTCTCTTTCTGCTGCTTTGGCTGCAGCAGCAGGTGCTGCTGCTTCTGCTGCTGCTTCTGCTGTTGCGTCTACTGCTGCTGCTGCTTCTGCTGCTGCTGCTTCTGCTCCAGCTTCTTCTGCTGCAGCTTCCCCTTGTGCTACTGCTGCTGCAGTTTCGGGTGTTACTTTTGCTGCTGCTTCTGCTGCTGCCATCTGCACCCGCCAGTACTCATCGGGGTCGCTGGGTGCTGCTGCTTGCTGCAGATGCATCTCTTGAACCGTCAGTGCAGCCTCGAGATGCTGTTGCTGCAGCAGCTGCTGCTGCTGCTGTTGCAGCAGCTGCTGCTGCTGCATTTTTCCCCCGTAGACACTGCTGGGTGTTTTGAAGCCATAAGGGGCTGATGCTAGGCCTTCGCCTGTATGGGAAGCAGCAGACCTGGTGCTGCTGCTGCTGCAGCAGCAGCTGCTACTGCTGCTCCCGCTGCTGCTGCTGCTGGTAGCTTGTGCTGTGCTGCTGCTGCTGGTTGCTCCCTGCTACTGCCTTCTGCTGCTGCTGAGCAAGCAGCAAGTGTACGAGTTTCTGAAGAAGACTAAAAGAATGAAAAAACCCACCTTCTCGCCAGACACACAACAGTGGTTCGTTCGCTGCTGCTGCTGCTGCTGCTGCTGTTGCTGCTGCTGCTGCTGCCTTGGCTTAGAGAGCTTTCGCTGTCCCCTTGAAGGAGATCCCACTCAGACTGAAGAGGAAGACCGATAAAAATGAAGAGATAAACACAGACAAGTAGCCGCGTGCGTGAGTGCTGTTAGCAGCAGCAGCGCAGCAGCAGCAGCAGCAGCAGCAGCTGCTGCTGCTGCTGCTGCTGCTGCAGCTCACCCGCTGCCGAAGGCTTAGGCTAGGGCCCCGTGGAGGTTGCTGATTATTCTAAAAGATTTGTCTGTCTATTGACTTCTCTTTGTGTTTTTCTTTGTTGTGCTGTATAATTAAAGCACTCAGTCCCTTCACATCTGCTGCTGCTGCTGCTGCTGCTGCTGCTCGGCTGCTGCTGCGGCTCCCCAGCGTCTCCGTCGTTTTCTGCTACAGTTTAGCAGCAACTCCTTGAGGTAGTGGTCTTGTTTTTGTTATTTTTCTTCTCTCGCATGAGTCCGCAGCAGCTACAGCACACCAGGCAACCAGAAACAGCAGCAGCAGCAGCAACAGCAGCAGCAACAGCAACAGCAACCAGCTGCTCCCGCATTGGGACCAGCGGCAGCAGCCAGCTGCTCCTGCATTGGGACAAGCAGCAGCAGCAGCAGCTGCTGCTGCTGTTGCTGTTGCTGTTGCTGCTGCAGCAAGAGCACAAGGGCCTCGAATCTGCTGCAACACGGAGTGCAGCGGGGGTGGGGCGCTGCTGCACTTTATAAAAGCAGCTGCCTGAGCAGCTCCTGCTGCTGCTGCTGCTGCTGCTGCTGCAATGAGGATGAAGCACAATGCGACGGAGTTGGAGGAGCGGCTGATGCAGAGCAGCGGGGCTGCTGCTGCATGCAGAGAGGAAGCAGTATGCGTGCCCGTAGAGGGTGTAGGCGAGCAGCAACAGCAGCAGCAGCAGCAGCAGCAGCAGCGACTGCTGCAGCTGCAGCAGCTGCATGAACAGCAGCATCAGCAGCAGCAGCAGCAGATGCTGCTGCACCGCAGCAGCAACGTAGGGGAGAGGTTCTTCCTAAGGGGGCTGATGTTTGTTAAGATTGGTTTCGGTGCTCTTGTCCTCTTCTTGCTGCTGCTCGCTGCTCTTCATATTGATGCTACAGCCAGCGTGTTAAGACAAGTCATAGCAGGAGTAAGTTCTGCTGCTGCTGCTGCTGCTGTTGTTGTTGTTGCTGCCGCTGTTTCTGTAACTGCTGCTCCCGGTGCTGCTGTTGCTGCAACTGCTGCTTCTGCTCCTGCTGTTGCTGTAACTGCTGCTGTTGCTGTAAGGGCTGCTGCTGTTGCTGTAACTGCTTCTGCTGCTGCTGCTTGTTTTGCTGTTGCTGTGACTGCTGCTGCGGTTGCTGCTGCTAGTGGTGCTGTTTTTGCTGCCTTTGTTGTTGTTGCTGCTGCTGCTTGCTTTCCTTTGCTGCTGTTGCTGCTGCTGCGGCCGAGGGGTGATAGAGAAGCGTAGGGTCTCCTAGGGTTTAGGGTTTAGGGTTTAGGGTTTGAGTGGTGGGCTTGCTGTGCTGCAGGTTCAGGACTTAGGGGGGTTTGCTCCTATTGCCTATATTGCTCTATATGTTTTGTGTATTGCTTGCTTCTTACCAGCAGAGTTTATGGTGAGGGTTTAGGGTTTAGGGTTTAGGGTTTAGGGTTTCTGGATTCTCAGCCCTTCAGACGGGGACAGGCTTTCGCGTTTCGCTAGGGTTTAGGGTTTAGGGTTTAGGGTTTAGGGTTTGTGATTAGGTGGTGATAGAGTGTGGGGAGGCGCCTGTGCTTATGGGGTTGTTTGGGTTTAGGGTTTAGGGTTTAGGGTTTAGGGTTTAGGGTTTGTGTGCGTTTGCACAGCACTTGGCTGCCGGTTTTATCTTCTCCCGAATTTATGGAGAAAGCTGTAAGCCTCACTTCGTCTAGGGTTTAGGGTTTAGGGTTTAGGGTTTAGGGTTTAGGGTTTATCAGCTCGAATTTCTGCAACGCACCTCCTGCATGCATGCATTGATATGTTTGTATTTGCGTGTTCATATATTATGTTGCATATTATCTGCTTCTGCTGCTGCTGCTTCTGCTGCTGCTGCTTCTGCTGCTTCTGCTGCTGCTGCTGCTGCTGCTGCTGCTGCGTGTGCTGCAGTGGGTATAGTGGTGGCGTTTCTTTGCTCTCTCTGTGGGGCGTTGCTGTCTGGTCTTTGCTGCTTCATGATAAGCAGATATCTTTTGTACGATATGCTGCATTCAATGATGAGAGGAAGCCCTCTCTTTAGGGCTTTTAATGCTGCAGTAGAAGACGGGGGTATTACTTTTGTTGCACTTATTCGCCTTTCTCCTATTCTCCCTTACTCCGTACGTCGAGGGTTTAGGGTTTAGGGTTTAGGGTTTGTAGGGCTTAGCGATATCGAGGGTCTGAGCTTTTTGAACTGGGTTTAGGGCTTTCTACGGCCTCATAGGGTATTCTAGGGTTTAGGGTTTAGGGTTTAGGGTTGTGTTTTGTTTGTCTTTTGCTGCAACGTGCAGCTAACAAGCTATTTGTTTGGAGTTACAGCTCTTAAGGCTTCGCATCTTCTCCTAGGAACGTTTTCAGGGACACCGCGTGAGACCCTAAACCCTAAACCCTAAACCCTAAACCCTCGCTTATAACCTTTTGAGTCTTCATCTTCCGTCTTGGCTACTCGATAGGTCCTCGGGGTGTAGCAACAGTATATATATATATATATATATATATATATATAACGCAGGCATAACCCTAAACCCTAAACCCTAGAAAGGCGTTTGTTTTTTTGCTTGTTTGCTTGCCGTCTGTCTGTGCTCAGTTATTCTAGCCTTCAACTTCATTGGCTCTGCATTGAGCGATCTTAAAGATTTAGACATCCGTAAGCTACTCTCTCTGCCCGAGGGTTTAGGGTTTAGCGTTTAGGGTTTAGTGAATTCGAAGGCTTTACTACTACTACTGCTGCTGCTGCTGCTGCTGCTGCTGCTGCTGCTGCTGCAGGCAACTTCTCCTGGACGTGGCAGCGACTGAGTCTCGTCGCTTTGGGAGTTATGATGGCCGGCGTAAGAAGGCTTTAGGGTTTAGGGTTTAGGGTTTATCAAATACGTGTTTGTTCAATACACAAATAAAACTCCTGTACCATAATACGCTGGAGTATGCTCTTGGCTGTTCCCTGACTATTCAATATATAATATATAAATATATATATATATATATAATAAATGTACGTGCTGTACATATATATATATACATCGATATATGTATGTATATAAATATATGCACCGATATATATATATATATAAAGAGTACATATATATATATATATATATATAGTTGCTGTTTTTTGTTTGACTTGACGAAGAGTTTATGTTGTTTATTTATTTTTAGATTTCTGTGGTGTACATCGGCGTGCTGACGCGGAGGAAGTTGGAGGCGGCGTATGCAGCAGCAGTGAGAGAGCGAAGCCAGGGGGGGCAGTTGCTGCTGAGCAGCAGCAGCAGCAGCAGCGGCAGCAGCAGCAGCGCAGCGGGGTTGCCTTGACGTGTTTCCTCCCTTTTTTAGTGCGTACACAGCAAAAAACCCGCAGCAGCAGCAGCAACAGCAGCAGCAGCAGCGGCACACTCCCCCTGCATGCAACGCAACTCCAAAGCACAAGTAGTTCATACAGACAAATGATTGCACTCTTCGTGCATGCATGCATGCATGCATGCATGTGCAGCTCGCTTGTATATATATAATATATATTATATGCATATAATGCATATCACAATATATGCATATATAGTAGTATTGTGCATATATACATATATATGTACATATGTGTATATGTACGCATAGATATGTAAAAGAATATATATATATATATATATATGTATATATATATATAAAATATATAATTTGCCCTTTGGCCCTTTGTAAAGTCAATCTTCCAGTTAAGTGGAATATAATAATAAAATAATATTATAATAATATCTCTGAGGGAGGTGATGTAGGAGTTGTATTTTTTTTGTTTGTTTCTGCCTCTTTATTGGGGCGCCTCGCGCCGTTGCCGCTTGCAATTGGGGCCTGTGAGTGCCCCTGCAGCAGCAGCAGCAGCAGCAGCAGCAGCAGCAGCATCGGGTTGCAGTGCAAAAGAGAGGAGCTGCTGGCCTCTGTGCTGTGAGCACCGTGTGGGAGCCCTCTTCGCTGCGGCGTTAATGTGCTGCGAAGGGGATGAGTATGAAAGTCAGAATAAATAAAACAGAAGCAACAAAATAAAACAAATTCAACATGCTGCGTTTATCTCTTTATAATCCACTTGTCTTTATTCACTTACTAGGCTGTCTGTAGGCACAGCAGCAGCAGGGAGTCTGAAGCGGGGCTTCTGTATATCTGCTGCATATTTCTGCACTTAGTTTTATTCGAATTAATATCCACCAAGACACGCCTTACCTCCAGCAAAGGTTTGCATGCGGTGCCGCAGCAGCAGCTGCTGTTGCTGTTGCTGCTGCTGTTGCTGCCGCTGCTGCTGCTGCCGCTGCCCCTGGGCAGGCCTTGTGAAAGCTGCCAGTTTACTCCGAAATATCAGCAGAAAGCTCAAAGAGAAACAAGTCGAGGAGGCGCATTACCGACAGAAGATGAAGTGCTGGGCGCTCCCCGCGATGATGCAGCAGCAGAACTGCAGGCTGAGGGGCTTCGTTGTGTAGCTGAGAGGGAGAGGGAATTGAAAGAAAGAACAAAAGAAAGAAGGAAAAGAGAAAGAAAGCCAACCTTGTGCCCATCGTTTCAAAGCCATCTGCTTCTGTATGAAAGGCAACTGCTGCACATCTGAGCTGGCCATGTCGAGGGACTGCAGTAGAAATTAAGAAGAACAATCTATGCAGTAAATACGAAGCAGCAGAAAACAGTTTTGATATGCATCTATGCGTCTATAAGTTTGAAGAGCTCACGCACTCCGCTGCACTGGCAGTGTACAAGAGGGCAAACGGGGACCAGCTGGGCGAGGAAGCACTTTGTGCAAATTAGGCTGTGGCACTTAACGAAGACCCTTCCCATTTTGATGTCAGTGAGACAGACGAGGCAAATGGCTGTAAGGAAGAAGGTGAATACATATGCACTTATTCAGAAGGGAAACGACAGAGTAAAGACAACACCCGAACAGACAACAGACCTGGAATGCCGTAAAAAAATGTTAACTCTTTGTTAGAATCATCACAAGATGAATTCTTCAGCTTCTGCGCTTCAAGGTTTCTCGAAACAGATGAAGAAAATACTGCTGAACGAACCACTCCAGGTCCTTGACCCTGCCGGTACGAGGGAGGAAACCGCAGGGGGAACATGTTTATATTCGTGGTTTCCGTCGTTTTCTGAAGTTAAGTGGAAATACAAATGCAAATGAAGCATAATTCGCCAGTCATATTCATGCCACTGAAACTGAAAACATGAAGCATGTTGAACTTGAACGACTTCATCTTCTTTGCAAGAAGAACAGTTCAGGTGTATAGGCACCTGAGACTTAACTTCGTAGCATGCAAGCCAGCAGCACTAATGTTTTTATCGAGATTATCTCGAGGAAAGGAAAAAAGTAAGTGCTTTCTCCTTTTCTTTTACTCAGCTTCGCCGCGCCACAGCTGCAAGTACACCCTAGGGAAGCCTACAAGAACGTCTTTCTGAATACAAGTGGAGCAGCTGCGCTTACGATATTGTCTCTAAAAGAAACGCATACTGTGTGTAATTAAAAAAAGACTTAAAAACAAAAGTTTATTGATGAGTTGGAAGAGAAGAGGGATGCAGATCGCATCCATTTGCAGCTGAACTCTCCCACTGAAACGAACAGCAACACAACACCAGAAGATGCATTTGCACAACGAAACAGGGAGAAAGAAGAAGCTCTATATCCCCAGAAGTATATATTTCAGTGATGAAGATGCTTCTTTGCAGCCATTCGAACTTGTTTATCGAAATGAGGGCTTGTAATAAGGCCGTTAGCCTCATATAGAGGATTCATAAGAACCCGCAGAAAGAGCTCATGAACTTCAGTAAAGAAGCTGCGGATACCTTCACTAGACCCTCTATTTTTGTGGAGAAGCATCAGCTTTACATGGCCAGCAGTGCAGAAGGCAGAGACGAGGAAATCTCTGAAAGCATCACAATTCTTCAAATACATTGACTGCGTCTGCCAGACATATTCATCTACTGCATCAAGCGCCTGGTGTATAATGAACTGATCATAGTGAGGAGAATCTTCCCTCTTCCCAGGTGCACTGAGATCAGCTTCATACAGCGGAGTATCTCCTTTGCCTACTATAACGAAGACAAATAAATTTGCTGCAGCCGCCATCGCCTCCCTCCTTTCTTTCAGACTCCAAACCAAGTAATCTTCTTATTCACCAGATAAACATCTATTACACACTCATTGCATGCAAAATAAATAAAATACAAACTAAAACAACAAATAAACAAAGCTGTCGAGAGTCAGCCCCTTGCGTTCATCGTCAGCTTCTGCTGCTGCTCGCTGAAGAAAAGAAGCTGGTCTCAGAGAAAAACAAGGTAAAACATACAAACATAAACACAAAAAGATTAATTAATCAACAATACTTCAAAATTCATGAGAGTCCTCCAGAGGTCTTCCTTAAATAGCACGCACAGCTGACTGTTTCGGCAGCGGTGGGATGGCAGCTTATGCATGCAGACCCTAAACCCTAAACCCTAAACCCTAAACCCTCAACACACCTAATGAATAGCTTGATTATCGTTTTAACATTATTTTAGTAAATTTTCAAATAAGAACGAGAAGCAGGTGTAAGTACAAGTCAATATATATATATATATATATCTATGTATATATATACACCTCAGGTTAGCTGCTGACGGGTCGAGGCTTCACTGCTGAAGGAGCGCAAATACATAATGAAACATATAAATATAAATATAAATATAAATATATATATATATATATGTGCATATATATTTATATATGTAGGTATACGGATATATCTATATATACATATGTTCACCTGCATAGATCTATGCACACATATACACAAACCTAAATACACCTATATTATAATATATATATAATATATATATATATATTATATATATATAAAGGTATAAACATACTATACGAATGGTCAGTGAGGGATCATAGAAGATTAATCATTAACTCTCCATCACTATTATGAATAATAATAATAATAATAATAATAATATTATTATTATTATTATTATTATTATTATTATTATTATTATTTAATATAATTATTAATATTATTAATGTTACTATTATTATTACTGCAGCAATATACCCTCATGCATCTCGTCGTATAGGCTTCACTTATTATATGCTTTGTATAGTTTGCATTTATTAATGTTTAAATCTCTTGAGCACAATTAAGAAATTTAATAATAAATAGGTAGATAGATGAGTGCAGAATTAAATGAAGTTGAGTCTGCAGATGCTCCTATTACCTGTCTATTCTCCTCAGAGGTGAAAGCAGCATTTACATAATATAAATTTTAATTTTAATCTATATTAATCATAATTTTAATAATTAAAGCAGGTTGAGTGATAAAGGCCGAGAGGCTTCGATGCTTTTTTTGTTTTTTTGTTTTTGTTTCCCCTTCAGCGCTGTTTGAGTTATTTCTTTTGCTTTGTTTAATATCTTTTCATCGTTGTTCTTGTCTTTATTATCCTTTATAACTTGTGAAGGAGAGAAACAAATACTTATCCTTGTTTATGCATGCAGGCTTCACCGCGAGTTTTCTATTATTTGTCTATGGGCAGGCAGCAGCTAATTCTTCAGTATATTATTAAACTCTATAAATTATCTTTTTAAAATTATTTTGTCTTCTTAGGTTTTTCTTCTTTCTTTTCTAACAAATAAAATGAATAAATAATAAAGTCAGCGGTAGAATAGCGATAGAGATAAATTACTATAAATTTAAATATTTAGTTCCTCTTAAGACTTCTCATTGTTTATTGCTTTATATTCATAGTCAAATCCTTTAAGAAAAGCTAAACTCAGTTTCTATGTTTAAAACATCTTTTGAAGAAGTATTAATAAGGAATATTAGAATTAAATATTTAAATTCATGCATATCTATCTCTACTGCTATTATACCCCTAAGGCTATACTTGTTACTCCTTCTTAATGCAGCACTCTATCGGTGCTGTCTTTTATTTACTCTTTTCTCTTTTCACAAACTTTTCTAAGCATCTCCAACCTGCGGATACACCTGAACTGCAACTTATCAGACACGAACATACTGCGAAAAAAAGAGTTTCTTTCTTCAGTGTATTCACATAAACTTGTCTTTTCTGTCTTCATATTTCTATGAAGTGTTTGGAGAGCCTGCTGCTCTTCTTAAACTGCATATTAAATGCATATATATATATATATGTTTGTAGACAGCATTAATCTAATATATATATATATATATATTTACATATTAATATATAGCATTAATATACCTTCTTCATACAGCTCAACGCTTATAGAAAGTTAGCAAAGGCCGCAGTATTTATAATTATTTTTTTGTTTTTTTAAAGTTTTGCAGTGGAGATTATTTCAGGCGTAGTCTTTGGCTTGCTCGGATGAATTTAGATAAAGATGTTTATAAATATATATCCGTTTCTTCTTTAGATGAAGATGTCTTTAAATATATTTCTGTATCTTACTCTGCAAAGAGTAAGATACCATAGATGAAAATTAATAAATATAAATATATATATATATATATATATCTATGCATATATAAGTATATATATATATATATATTAATATGTTTGTATGTGCATATATTCATGGTTATATAATACTTTGTTTGGATATAATGCTTTGTTGAAGTATAATACTTTGTTTAAATAAGAGCATAAAATAAGAAGAAGCTGCAACAGCCCCTTAATGAGTTTCTCTCTTTTGTCTTGCATGCAGCAAAGAAAGCAAAGGAGACAAACAGCAAATTCTAAATGTGATGCAGCAGCTGCGTGCACACAACGCCGCATGCATGCACAGGATCCAGCAAGCCCCATTCTGCTGCTGCTGCTGCTGCTGTTGCTGCTGCATGCAGCAGCAACATATCGAATTATTTTTCATTGTATTATTCTATAGCCAGGGAGCTAGTGAAGATGAAAGGAGTAAAGAGCAGCAAAGACATGCAGACAGTAATCAGACTGATATACTAAAATAATTATTTATTTTAATTTTATTTGTATTAATTTATTTCTTTTTTCTAGTAAATCAGCGAGTAGCGCTGAAGTGAAAGACTTCAATAATTTGGTTTAGTTAATATTATATTTTATTCTTTTGTTTGTTATATCGCTTAAGATTTTATATCGAATAATAATATTATTTTATATTTTATTTATTTAAATATATAGTTTTATTCTCGTTTCTTTATTTACTGCATCTATTATCTATAGCAGCTTTCGCTGCTCCTGTCCAAGTCTAGTTGGGTATAGCCCCGCTAAGTTTATTTCTTGTAGCTTATATATTTATTTGCATTGACCAGCCGATTAAGTATTTAAAAAAATAAATAAAACGCTAAAATATTCTTACAAAACAAACACTAGCAGCCCCGCATGCCTGGGGGCCCCCCAGGGGCCCCCAGGCACCGATTGATATACGTGGGGGCCCTTAGAAGCAGCAGCAGAAAGAAAGAGGTGAAGAACTTTATCTTCGACATTGTTTGACTTGTTAGCGTTTCCTCTTTACTTCTTTTCTTTGCTCATTGCTGCCCTACTGCTGCAGCAGCACCTGCTGCTGCTGCTGCAGTAGCACGAGCAGCTAGAGCAGCAGCAGCAGCAGCAGCTGCAGCAGAAGCAGTACCCTAGAAGGGACCCTTCATACTCGCCCTCCATGGGGGCCCCCAAGCCTCATACGCGCCGCTGCTGGGCCTCTCTCCGGCCTCCTAGGAGGTTTTGAGGCAGCAGCAGCAGCAGCAGCTGCTGCTGCTGCAGCTGCAGCAGCAACAGCAGAAGCAGGTTGCTCCGCACCAGCGACAATGCAACAGCAGAAGCAGCTTCAGCAGGAGAAGCAGCTGCACCAGCTGCTGCAACTCGGCGGATGCATAGCGGAGCCCCAGAAGCAGCAACAGCAGCAGCAGCAGCAACAGCTGTTGCTGCTGCAGCCACTTCCTAGGCCTGTCTTTGTTGCTGCTCCTTCTCTCTACAGCATCCCCCCGCTGCACCTGCGGCCTGCAGCAGAAACGCAGCTGCAGCTGCATTACCGCAATGCTGCTGCCTTGCTGCTGCTGCACATGCATGCTAGGGAAGCAGCAGCAGCAGCAGCAGCAGCAGCAGCAACAACTACAACAGCAGCAGCAGAATCGAGTCCTGCAGGTTGGCGCTACTCTTTGGCTTACCTCGATGGCCTCAGCGACCCGGCTGCCCTGCAGCAGGCGGAAGCATGCGGCGGGTTTGCTGCTGCAACAGCTGCTGCTGAGCCAGCAGCAGCAGAAGCAGCAGCAGCAACCCTGTCTCCCCTTCCTCTTTTTCCAGCTGCTGTCTGGGCGGATGCGTGGCCGCTGCTGCAGCAGCACGCTGCGCTGCAGCAGAAGAACCGCTTGTCTCTGCAGCTGGCTTTGCTGTTTGCAGCTCTGCTGCTGGGGGCGCAGCAGCAGCAGCAACAGATGCAGCAAGATATGGGGTTGCTGCTGCAGCTGCTGGAACTGCTGCTGCAGGGAGACAGCAGCTTCTGCTGCAGCGCCCTGTGCACCCTCTTATCAACGCAGCAGCCGCTGCTGCTGCATTGCCGCAGCACCGTAGCGCAGCATTTGCTGCCTTTGCTGCTGGGGGCCCCCAGGAGGAGGGGGGCCCCCAAGTTGGCTTGGTTGCTGCTGCAGCACGCTTACACGCTGCATGCAACGCCTCAACCTGCTGCTGCTGCTGCTGCTGCGCGGCTGCTGCTCAAGCAGCAGGCTGGAGCAGCAGCAGCAGCAGCGGGAGGGGCATCTAAGGGCGTCGCCGCAGAGCCATTGCCGGCAGCAGCAGCAGCAGCAGCAACAGCAGCAGCAGCAGCAGCAGCAGGAGAAGATGCTTCCCCCACAGCACACTGTCTCACTGTCCTACGTGTGCTGAGGAGGCAGCAAGAGAGCAGCAGCTTCTTATGTTGCTGCAGCAGGTCTTGTGCTGCAGTGTTTCTGCTATCATTGCGTCTTTTGTCAGCAGCAGCAGCAGCAGGCAGCGTGCTGCTGCTGTGCCGGGAGGCGGAGCAGCTGCTGCTGCTGCTGTGGCGCTGCAGCAGCAGCAGGGCTTCTTGCTTGCTGCTGGGGGGCTCCTTGCTTGTTGCTGCTCTGGGAAGCGTCAGCAGAGTGCGCGTTGTTAGGGAGGAGCTCTGGCCTTTGCTGCTGCACAAGGCAACTCCTGCTGCTGCCCTTCAGCTTCTCGCTGCTGCTGCTGCTAGAAGCAGCAACAGCTGCAGCAGCAGCTATGGCGACGAAGTCTGCTGCCGGTACGCGTGCTGGAGGGGTTGCTGCACGTTTGCGTCTGCTGCTGCTGCTGCTGCTGCGGGTCTCCAAGCTGCCCCCGCACCAGCAACAGCAGCAGCAGCAGCAAGCAGCAGCAGCAACAGCAGCAGCAGCAGTTGGGTTGGGGAGGCTCCGCTCTTCGTGTGGCTTATGTGCTGCCCCCCAAAGCTGGGGTTAGCAGAAATGCTGCTCCCAAAGGAGCTGCTGCTGTCGTTGCAGCACCTGCTGCAGCAGGAGACGCTGCAGCAGCAGAAGCTGCTCCTGCAGCAGGCTGGTCGCGCAAGCAGCTTGACTGGGCTTGCTGCTGCTGCTGCTGCTGCAGCTGCTACTATATCGGATAGCAGTAAGGAGCTGCTGCTGCAGCGGGAGTGGTTTGTTTCTCGTTGGCTGCGAATTGAGTCTCCTGCAGCAACACGTGCAGCAGCAGCAGCAGCAACAGCAGCAGGAGCAGCAGCAGGATCTGGAGGGCACTGCAGCAGGTCCCCGTGGCTCTCTTCCTTTGTAGGCGATTTGTCTGCTCAGTTGCTGCTGCAGAGTTCTGCTGCCTGCTGTCTCCTTCACAACGCGGGGGGAAACTCGAAGCAGCAACAGCAGCAGCAGCAGCAGCACCTGCTGCAGCAGCAGCAGCAACAGCAGCATGGCGAAGAGACTGGAGTGTTGGGGTGTCAAGGCAAGAGCGCACAGCTCAGCCTTAGTGCAGCAGCAGGAGCAGCAGCAGGAGCAGCAGCAGGGAGCGGCCAGCTTCAGTTGTGCTGCGGTGTGCTGCCAGTGCTGCAGCAGCTGCAGCAAACTGTAGAGCAGCTACCAAGCCCTTATTCATACCTCTGCTTGCTATCGCAGAGGCAGCAATTGTGTCTCCGTTGGCTGTTTTTTGCTGCTGCTGCTGCTCCTCTTCCTGCTGCTGCTGACCGTTACCCGTGGTGCTGCAGCACGAAGCAGTGGAGGGACGCCACGCTGCTGCTGCTGCGCTCCCTGCAGCAGCAGCAGCAGCAGCACCTGCAGCAGCAGCAGAAGTTTAAACGAATTCTTGTAGGTGGAGGTGCATGCACTGTCCCCCTACCCCCAGATGAATTCGTTAGAGACGCTGTGCTGCTGCCCACGCTGCAGTTCTTGTCTCTTTTCTGCAGCAGCAGCAGCAGCAGCGGTTGCTGCAGCACGGGGCACGAGTTGACGCAGGGGCGGGAAGGGCGGCAGTACGCGGGTGCTGAGGCAGCAGCAGCAGCAGCAGCAGCAGCCGCAGGGGGAGGTGTGGCTTCTTTGCTTCCGGTGGCTGTGCCGCTGCTGCAGCAGCTGCAGCAGGGCAGCAACAGCAGCAGCAGTTGGGTTGCTTCTTTTGTAGATTTTATGTCTCTGCTGCTGCAGCACTGGGCCCCTGCTGCTGCCCCGCTTTTTGTTGCTTCTGTTGCTGCTGCATTTGCTGCAGTAGGGCTGCTGCAGCTGCTGCTGCACCCTCCGCAGCTTCATCTCGACTCCTTTCAGGCTTCAAGCTCAGCACGTGCTGCTGCTGCTACCGTTGCTGCTGCTGAAGACAGAGGAGCAGCAGCAGACGCTGCAAGTGCGCCGGCGGCAACTGCAGCAGGAGCAGCAGCACCAGCAACAGCAGCAACAGCAGCAACAGCAGCAGGCGGGGCTCTGCAAACGCTACGGAGCTGGTCGGTGTCTCTGTCTGTTTTCTTCAGCAGCAATTTAATGAGTTGTTTTCTTCTGGAGAGGGGGGGCATTGTCCTTCGCGTGGGCTGCAGCAGCAGCAGCAGCAGCAGCAGTAGCAGCAGCAACAGCAACGGCAGCCGCAGCAGCAACGGAGCTCCGTTTCGGGTGTACGTACAGCCAGAGAAGAGCAGCGCGAGAGAGGGGCCTCAGCGATTTCCTCTCTCCCCTCTTCTCTGCAGCGCGCTGCTGCAGTCTCAGGTGCTGCTGCTGCTGCTGCTGCAGCAGCCAGAGCGCTTCGGTGCCGCCCTACCAGGCAAGCTGGGGGCCCTAAGCAGAGACATAGGAATATTAGCAGCAGCAGCTGCTGCTGAGCAGCAGCAGAAGCAGCAGCAGCAGCAGCAGCAGCAAGAACCTGCGAGGGTAGCGGAGCCTCAGCCAGAAGAACACCTCCAGCAGGAGCAACAGCAGCAGCAGCAGCAACAGCAGCAACAGCAAATTTGCAGCATTTTAAGTCTGTCGGCAAGACCACTGGCAGCTACGGAGGAAGAGCAGCAGCAGCAACAACAACAACAGCAGCAGCAGCAACAGCACGGTCAGCAAGCTGCCTCTTCTCAACGGGAGGTTCTTGCTGCTGCTGCTGCTGCTGCGGTTGCTGCTGCGGCGCCCCCTGCCGTTGTGCTGCCTCACCGCGAGCTGCTAAACTGGCTGCACAGACACTGCACTGACAGCTACAGCAGCAGCAGCAGCAGCGACTTGCAGATGCATTGGGGCTCAGTTGAGGTCCCTTCGAATCTCTTTGCAGCGCGTACGGGGCCCCACACTTCGTTTTGCTGCTGCTGCGCAACTTCAGCTGCGGCGTGTGCTGCTTGTCGTAGGCGCTGCAGCAGCAGTAGCAACAACAACATCAGCAGCAGCAGCAGCAGTGATAGCAGCACAGAGGGTCAGTTTGTATCAGCGGTGGCGAGCTACAGGCAGCTATGTGAGGGTGTAGCTGCGGAAGCTGCTGCAGCAACAACAACTGTTGCACCTGCTGCTGCAACAGCAGCAGCAGCAGCAGCAGGGAGTGTAACAGAGACTGAACTTTGTCTTGTCCCCTCTGCTGCTGCTGCTGCTTGGAGACACCTTGCAGCAGGTGCACAGGTGGATGCCTTGTGGGCTGCTGAGCTGCTCTTGCGGCTGACGGAGCAGCAGCAGCAGCAGCAGCAGCAGCAAAGCACTCCCGCTGCTGCAGCGGCAGTGGCTGCTGCACTTAGCAGCTGTCTACTGGTCGATAGCCTAAACGGAAATTCGCTTGC